CGGTAGTAGAGGCTTCACGGAGAGGGAGCCCTGAGTTTGAACCCAGGTGGGCTCCATGTGCTGCTGACCCTCTTCCGGCCATTCTTGAACACTGTTTTTGTAAAAATATTTTTATTAATTTCAGAATTTTATACATTTTATGTATTTTGGTCACATTCGGAACCCTCTCCTCCATTCCTTCCCAGCTACTACCCCACCCCTGTCCACTGTTATTATCTGTCCTTTACTTTTTTTTTTCTTTCTTTTTTGGTCTTTTTGAGACAGGGTCTCCCTGTAGCCCCAGCTGTCCTGGAACTCACTATGTAGACCAGGCTGGCCTTGAACTCACAGAGATCCACCTGCCCTCTGCTTCCCGAGTGCTGGGATTAAAGGTGTGCGCCACCACGCCCAGCTGTCCTTTACTTTTAAAAAAAATTGTATAGTTTTCTTTTAATTGAATTTTTGTGATTTTCATAAATATTTCTGAGATAGGATCTCCTTGGGGCCCCAGCTGGCCTGGAACTCGCTATGTAGACCAGGCTGGCCTCAGTCTCACAGAGATCCACAAGCTTCTGCCTCCCAAATGCTGGGATTAAAGGTATATGCCCCACACCTCACCCAGCCCCTCACAAATACACACACACACACACACACACACACACACACACACACACACACATATTACCTCTCCTATCCCCACCCAATTTAATGTACTCTATGTTCTCTACTATTTACCTATATAATCTAATTTGCTTGGACACTGTTTTTTAATCTCTGGGGTGGGGTGTGTTCCCCTTTCTGTGATCTGGGGAAGACGGCCCGCCCAGCCTCACTAGTATCATTCAGGACAGACCTGAGTCGCTTGCTTCTAAAACTGCTAAACCAGCTGAAGGCATACTGGGGGCACTGCAGGATTGGGGGAATGCAGGAGGATCCCCAGATCCCCTGGCTCTTAGAGTTTGGTCTGTAGGGGTCAGGTTTGGGAGAGTAAAAACCTCCTTTTGGGGCTCAGGTGGGTCTATGTGACCGTGAGGAGCTGGGAATTAATTATAGCCCTCCGGCTGGTCAGTCTCATCCCTCTTTTCTGCAAATGGGGAAACTGAGGCTTGGAGCTGGGAAGGAGCAGAGGAAGTTCCCAGCCACTGCCAGAACTCAGCTGAGCTGGGTGAAATGGCACACACCTGTAATCATAGCACTTGGGTGACAGAGGCAAGAGGATCAGAGGTTTAAGGAGACTCTCTCAAAACAAACAACGCAACAAAACAACAAAACTAAACTGAAAGCCTGTCAGTGAAGTCATTTTTGATCGAACTCCTGCATGCCTCCCTTTACCACAGAGCCTGAGCAGAAAAGAGAAGGCCCTCAGTAGGTCTCATCAGTGTCGTGTCCGTGTCGTCCCCCCGCCCCAGGATTCTACTGTCCACCTCACCCACCTGAGCCCAGGCTATCATTCAAAGCACGTTGGAAGACTGGGCCTGGAGTCCAGGAATCAATCTCTCTGTCTCTCTGTCTCTTGCTCTGTATTTATACCTCTCAGTGTTGGGAGGCACCCCACTCTAAGCCCCAGCAGAATTTATTCTGAGACAATGGCATAGTCTGAGGGCACCCTGTGTGTGCACACACAGGAAAATGTGTATGTGCGTGTGTGCATATCAGGTGATCTCTGGGCCCTCAAGGGGTCTCTGGGATCACGATGTGGGGGGTGGCTCTCACCTTGTATTGTCACACCGTAATGTTCCCCATTACCGCAGCCCTAAGTGGTCTGTGTAATGTCAGGAGGGAGGGCCTCATATGGGTGGGTGGGTGAGGAGGGAGGGCCTCATGTGGGTGGGTGGGTGAGAGAGCTATGCCTTTGTATGTGGGTACTGGCGTGATCCTACGTGACTGTTCAGTCGTTACCAGTGACTGATAACAATGCATGCTGTTGTATGCATTATTGTGAATGTGAATATGGAGGTGAGGCTATGAATGTATCTAAAACCCCATGTGTGTGGTGTTTAGAAATATGCCAAAACATACAGAATAAATGTTAAATTGAAATCTGTGGCCTTTGTGGCCTCTGTGGGATCTGCCAATGTGTAAGAATGCCTGTTTGTGAATAATCGTGCATCTATACTAATGATCTGCGGTAACTTTTGGTGTGTGTGTGTGTGTGTGTGTGTGTGTGTGTGTGTATTTAGGGAAGTATTGTTTTTGTTTTTTGAGACTGCCTCTCATACTGCAGCACAGCCACACTGCACCCTCCTGCTTCAGCCTCCCTAGTTAGCTGAGACTGGAGGAGACTGCTGTGCTGGGCTGGCGCCATGGAGTTTTGTGAATTTGTGGTGAAGAGTTGTAAGAAAATACAAAGTGAAACTAGGTGTGATGGTGGTGGTGTGGCTCATGCCTGTAATCTCAGCACTTGGGGAGGTAGAGGCAGAAGGATCAGGAATTCAAGGCCAGACTAGATACCTGAGACTCAGTCGTGAGTTAATTAATTAAAAATAAGTGTTTGTGGGCTGGTGAGATGGCTAGGCAGGTAAAGGCACTTGTCGCTATGCCTTTCCATTGATACCCTGATGATGATTTGAGTTCCAGCCCCTGGACCCACTGAACAACCAACTCCTGGACCCACTGAACAACCAACTCCTGAAAGTTGTCTTCTGACATCCACTTGGGCACTATGGTATGCGACGACCCCATAAATAAATATAATTGATGTTTGTGTGCTTATGCGTAACAGACAGTGAGAACATGTGAGCATTCCTGCCTCTGTGCAGTGTTTAGAGGTATGTGCCTCTGATGACTGTGGTTTTTTTTTTCATCCCTGAGTATGCTACTGGGAGGCTCCTGAGTTTAACTCACCTGGGGTGTGATGAGCGCCCTGTGGGTGACAGAGGGTCCAAAATCCCAGGGATGTGTGGGTCTTGAGATGCTGTGTGGATGCCAGTTGGCTGTGAATCATTGGGGGGAATGAGTCTGTAAGAACACTGGGTATGTACCTATCACCCAGTCCATGCCAATGTGAGCAATGAATGCAGCTGGTGAAAACTGCTGGAGTTCAGACTGTGTGTGGGGTTGCAGTGGGAAGCCCTTCTCACAGAATAATTCCTCTCTACCCAGTTCTCACATTCAGAGAGCACCTCCCCAGCCTTGAGGCCCAGTACCATGCTGAGCCTAGTCTCTGGAATCCGGCGCCTGGTGAGTGCTCCCTCCTGGCTAGCCTCCCACTCTGGGCTCCATTCGACCCCAGCACTGCTGGAGCCTGGCGCCTGGAGAGGGGCTTTGCTGCTGGCCTGGAGCCCCAGGACCTCCTTGAAGCACCCAGTCCACATCCCCACATCCTGGCCAGCTCCCCCCACAGGTGGAAGTTGCCACGCTCAGCTCAGGGACCGTCCCCTTTCCATTCATACCCTGAAGCTTGTGGGTTTTCACAAAGCACGGGTTTACTCGGGACACACAGTATCTCAGTACAAGGTGTTTCTAGGATTTTACACCCACTGGGCTCAGGACCTGATCTAGACGCCCGTCCTGTTTGTCCTGTTTACTGCTACTGGGCCTCACCGTTCTCCCATTGTAGGTGCCCTGTGTTTGCCTCAGTCACAGGATGGGCATCAATTAGCAACTTTTGAGTGGCTGGATTAAAAATGCTTAAAAACCGATGGGCATCATCTCCTATTTCCCTTACCCAGCACTTCTTGACAGAAAAGTACACTTCCTGCATCCTGCCTAGGGACAGAGCAAGGCTTGGAAACTTTGGAGAGGTTGGAGGGGTCCTGCGGAACAGACACATCAAAGGGAAAGGGAAGGCCCAGAGAGCCAGGCTTGAAGCCATCACTATCCTCGTCTACAGGGTCCCTGCCAACCCCAGGAATTGCCCTAGCTAGGAGGGGTCCCCATAGAGGGCTCTGCAGCTGGACCAGGCCTCTGTCGGTGGGTGTGAGCTGACAGAACTTCTTCGCAGATACCCAGCAGGGGACCGGCCTACTCCGCCTGTTTTCCAGTCAATCCTGGTTGCTCTCCATATGCTTCAGCACCAGTATCTTTAGAGGATCAAACATTTCTTGAGGAGTGATGAGCTGGGTGGAGTAGCCCAGCAGTCGCCAGTTCCCTACGGGAGACACCGGGGAGCCCTGCCATGGAGATGCCCCAGGGCCAAGGCGCCGCCAGGCTGCCTCGCCATCAGCCCGGCCTGCCGCCGGCTTTTACACCGCACCAGGCGCCTGCGAGGCGAGAGGAGCGAAGCTCAGCACCCCCCCCACCCCCACCCCAGAACAAACCGGTCAATGCCCACAAGTCTGGAAGGCGCTCCCCCTTCCCGCCCATTCCCACCTCGGCCTCTGGAAGGCTCCTCGGTCAGCCAGCAGCTGTTGGAGAACTGGACGGTCGGGAGCCACCCTGTGCGCCAGACGCTCCGGGTCCAGCCCCAGGCAGGGGACCTAAGGGCGGGGTGGGAGGTGTTAGGGGCCTACTTCCCGCTGGCCTCCGGTCTCCCACGTTGAGCGGGGTCTTTAGAACCTGCGTCCGGGAATGCCCGAAGTCCCATTCCGAATTCCGGAGTGCAGAAACAAGAGCCAGTTTTTCTCTGGGCCTCAGCTTTCGATTCTGTGGAATCAAGGGGTGGGCTCTGGGTGACAGCTCTCCTTTCCGGATGGTTCTAAATTCCTTTCCTTGCATCTACAAGGAGGGGGTGGTAGGATCAGTTTAGGGCTAGAGCTAGCCTTGCTGGAAGTATGCAGCCCCCGCCCTCCAAGGAGGGGAACAGGGAGAGGGGAGGGACGGAGGCGGGGTCGGCTCTCAGTCCCTGTGGTCAGCCTAGAATCCAGTGGTGCTTGCTGAGTAAAACCTGGGACGGCCACCCCCTTTCCGCCTCCCGCCATTGGCTCCAGGGGGAGTTGACATCAAAGGCCAGGCCTTTTATAAGCCAGACCCAGAAGGGAAGTCCGCAGAAGGGTTAATCGGGTCTTTGGGAATCTACATCGTTGCCCTCTCCGGCGGTCGCAACTCTCCAGAAGGCGGCTGGCCGCGAGAGTCTTTCCGCCTTGTTTAGGACGCCCCCAAAGCCCAGTGGGTGTGAGGCCTGGGAGCCCGCCGGTGGCCCCGGTCAGTGGGGCGCATGGGGCGGCGCTAAACGGGCTGGCAGCGCAGGCCAGGAGCCTCTCCAACATGAACCTCGTGGGCAGCTACGCACACCATCACCACCATCACCACCCACACCCCGCGCATCCCATGCTCCACGAACCCTTCCTGTTCGGTCCGGCCTCCCGCTGCCACCAGGAGCGCCCCTACTTCCAGAGCTGGCTGCTGAGCCCGGCTGAGGCTGCCCCAGATTTCCCTGCTGGCGGGCCACCACCCACAGCCGCTGTGGCAGCAGCCGCCTACGGTCCCGACACCAGGCCGGGTCAGAGTCCCGGGCGGCTGGAGACGCTCGGCGGCCGCCTGCCCAGGCGGAAGGGCTCAGGACCCAAGAAGGAGCGGAGACGCACGGAGAGCATCAACAGCGCGTTCGCAGAGCTGCGCGAGTGCATCCCCAACGTGCCTGCCGACACGAAGCTCTCCAAGATCAAGACTCTGCGCCTGGCCACCAGCTACATCGCCTATTTGATGGACGTGCTGGCCAAGGATGCGCAAGCTGGGGACCCCGAGGCCTTCAAAGCTGAACTGAAAAAGGCGGATGGCGGCCGGGAGAGCAGGCGGAAAAGGGAGTTGGTGAGTCCCGGGACTTCTAAGCCCCAGGCCTGAGTGCAGGCTGCCTGGTCGCAGGAGCATAGCCTGCAAACGGTAGAAGGCAGTGCTGTCTTGGGTGCTATTTTTAAAGACTAAGGAGGGCTCTAAGATGGTCAGTCTGTCATTGTGTGCACGGCGGGGAGGTAGCCAGGATTGAATTCAATCATAACTGAGTGGACACAACATCTTGGCTTTTTGAAGTGATCTTAGGGCCTTTGAGAATGAAATGAAAGCCCCAAGAAAGTGCACATGTAATACATCTTATTTTCAATTTGGAGGGGGTTCTGAACCCTCCCCAGGTGCTCCTGGAAGCCACTTTACTTCCAGTCTAATTTGCCTGAGTATATCTGGGTGTGGACTCAGCTGCAGCTTTCCAAGGGGGTTTTGCTGGAAAGGTTAATATAATACTTCTGTCATTGTGCTGCTGAAGAAACTAAGGACCTGAGCGGAGGAAACTTGAAGAGGACCCACTGGAGGAGTAAGAGGTGGGGTAAATCCAGTCAGTTCTTCAACTCCGGCTCATTCCTCCAGCTCTAGTTGTTGGCTAGTTTGCAAGGCAATCTCAAAGGCTTTGTGTGTGAACAAGTCAGAGGCGCTCTGGCCTCTGAGAGCAATCCCTAGTCGGGAACCCTTCTGGATGTTCTCCAGTTTGGGTGAGCCTTCCTGCTCAGAGCTGCGGGGGACCTCTGACTGTGGGGACTCCCAGGCTGGCCAGGAGTTCCTCCAAGCTGGTATGCTCAGGCTTTTTTTTATCTGACTGTGGGACTTTTGGCAAAGTACCAAGAGCTTACCTGGAGCCACGGAAAAGACAGGCTTCCTCAGCTGCCACCCGTGATACTTGAGATACAGCAGGCTGGATGGGCAACTTGTTGATGGCAGTTATAGGGCCAGTCTTGAGTCCCCATAGAGCAGCCTCTAGTGAGTAGCAGGGCAGCGTTCCTGTTAGGAAAACTGGGAAGGAGGGCATGGAGGCCAGGCCAATTCCTCCCTCTTTTCCTCCCTCCCTTGTCCAGAAGGGGCTCCCAGCACTGGCCCATTACAACACAACAGTGAATCCAAGCCAGGTTGAAACCAGGTTGAAAACCTGAAGGGGTGAATAGATTGCCTGAACAGGTTCCCCACCCAAAGAATTACCATTACCACTCCTGCCAGGCACCTTAAAGCCAAGCCCGCACAGGTTAATTTCACCAGATGCGGAGATTGCTCGTAGCCAGCCTCCCGACGCTGCTCAGACCATCCCGGATCCCAGGAACTGGCGCATAAAGGCAAATTTATGATCCTGTTTGCCCGTTTTGCAAATACAAATCCGTCACTTATTTAAAGACGCTCAGTTACGGCTCCCGACACCTTCCCCAGCTCCCCTCCAAGCCTGGTGAAGGAACGGAACAACTTAAATCTGTCTCTCTTGCCTCTTTTTTATGTGTCCGTTGGCAGCCGCAACACGAAGGCTTTCCTCCGGCCCTGGGGCCAGGCGAGAAGAGGATTAAAGGGCGCACCGGCTGGCCGCAGCAAGTGTGGGCGCTGGAGCTCAATCAGTGAGCCGAGGCCGGCGTCGAGGACCTGGCCCGGGCTGGGCCACCTGGCAGCCCCGGAGGAGAGGAACACAGCGCCAAGGCCAGGCTCGGGTTCCCGCCGAGTGCGCGCGTCTGCCCCGCCTCTGCTGAGCGCCGGGTCAGCGGCTGCTGCAACCACACACTAGGATCGCACGTGCAATGTCTTTCGAATTTGTTTTTAATGCAGTATGAGAAAGAGAAATTTATATATATACCCACCTCCTCTCACGGGGGCGACTCTTGGAGGCTCAACGCAGGAAAGAGGGAGGAACTGCAGAAATCCAGGCGCCCAAAGACGCACCCTTCTCACCGTCTGGGGGGCAGATGGAACCCCAAGGCCGGGTCCTAGTCAGTCTCTGGCTTGCTCTCTCGTCCCCCCTCTCAGCTTTACGCCTTCTCCTGGAGTGAAAATGCAGTAAGAACAATGGGCAGTTTCCTGCCAGGTGGACGGAAGCTGCCCGGTGCCGTCTTAGAACCGGCAGTGTTTTGTTTTGTTCTTTGTGATTCTATCCTTCCCACCTAGAGCCAAGGCGTAGCTTCCGCCAGAAACATCGCTGGTTTCCAAGGGAAACACCTCCCTTCCCTTCCTTCTCCTTCCTTTCCTTTTGTCCCTTCTTCCTTCCTCTCCTTCCCCTTCCCCTTCCCCCTTCCCTTCCCTTCCCTTCCCCTCCCCTCCCCTCCCCTCCCCTCCCTTCCCTTCTCTTTCTAAATGCAACCTTCCCCTACATTGCTGTTGTAATGTATTTAAACTACCTACGTGCCTGTTGCTCTCAGGTTGTTCATCTTCCCCCCAACCCTCTTTCTACCTCAAATCCGTGTGACCACTCACCACCCCTCCCTTTGCCGAAGCAGCATAGATCCGCTCTTGACAAAATAAAAAGTTTTCTGAAAGCCCGGGAGGCCTGTGTGGTGTCAGGCCAGCATCCCTCGCCCTGGTTTCTGGTGCGTGGAAATCTCGCACCCTCTTTTCTCTGATAAATACCCAGCCAGACTGTAAATCAAACTGACCGAAAGAGGCAGGTAAAGAGGTTATTTTTTTTGGAGGAAAGCGGTGTTCGTAGAAGACAGCGGCGAGCTGGGATCACATCTGGCAAGAAACCCAGAAAGGATTCAGCTCTGGGAGCCCACTCGGGTGGGTATTCACCGGCTGACAAGCACACAGCCCAGGGTACTGGGTTTTGTGGGGTCCCCAGGAGGGAAGGGGAGCCGCACCTCCGGACCGGGAAGTGCTGAGTCCTTGGGGGCCGCGCCGCCAGTCCTAGGGAGCCTGGGCGCTGCAGTCTACGAAGGTCCGCTCAGCACAGCTCCAAATACGCAGGCGGGAAGGACTCCACCCCGTGTAACAGCCAGTATTGTTTTATACCTGAGTAAAGTAAGCCTGCTTATGTTTAAATTGAGGCTTTTCTCTTGCAACAGAGCACTTAAAATTACGCGTGCGCTAATAGGTTTGTGCAGCCGGCTGTGTGTGACGGCCTGCGGGCGGGGACAGCCGGTCTCTGCGCATCCACCGCTACCGGGAGCAGAAAAACGCCGGAGCCTTTACTTAGGGGCGCGGAGAATGTGGAGCTAAAACTGGGGCGTGCTAAGTCAGGCACGTCCGCGCTCAGGAACGGCGGTGACTCCGGGCTTTCGTCCCAAGCGTGTGCGCAGCGCTTTCCGCCCGGAGCCGTTCCCAGGCTCGCGGAGCCCACGCGGCCCCGCACTCTGCCCGGCGGTGCGGTGCGCTCCTGCTGCGGACCAGGCGGGAAGGCGCGCGCGGCTCCCGACGTTTTCCCGCTGCACTCGGGAGCTGGAGTCCGCACACCGGCGGAGGATGAACATCCCGGGCCCCTGGCGTGTCTCCGGCGCCTCCACCCCGCATCGGGGTGAATATGGGGTCCCATTAGTCCGGGCTGTAAACACCGTGGCAGGGGCTGCCGGGCCACGCGGGCCTTTCCGGACGCGAAGGAGTTAATAAAAGGTGTTTTACCGGCGCGAGGAAACGGGGGAGGAGGTGTGAGCTCCTCCCTCCCGTGCCCCCAACTTTTCTTCTTTTTTCCCTCTTCCACCCGCCGCCAGATCAAACAGGCCCGAGGTTTAACTAGGGCAACACCTCGTGGTAATGAGCCGGCTGGCGCGCCCCTAGCCTCTCCCAGCCGGCCCCAAGGCCCCTGGGGAGAAGCACAAAGAAAGCCCAAGTTTTTTGTTTTTTGTTTTTTTTCTTTTTAGTTTTTTGAGACAGTGTCTCCCTGTAGCTCCAGCTGGCCTGGAACTCACTATGGAGACCAGGCTGGCCTCGCATTCTCAGAGACCCGCCTGCCTCTGCCTCCCAAGTGCTGGTGGTTAAAGGCGTGCGCCACCGCGCCCGGCAAATCCAGGTCCTTTACGCTTTTCTTTTCCTCTTTTGGAAATTCTCTGGCACTCGTGAGGAAACAGATCCAGGGAGAAAAGCCTTCCTTAGACTCGAACCCAGGACTCCAGTTCATCCTCCGTCATCAAACCTCTGTCTATACATAGGGGTCCCGCTCTCGCCGCTGCTATTTTTAGCTTGCTGAAGCACGCTAAACTCGGGAAGAATGTTGCACCCGCGCGTCCTGCTTCCTTCCTTACAGCGCCGAGGAGCGGGTACCTACCCCACAGTATCTCCTCAGCCAAGCCTGGACAACCAGGCCCTTAGGACACGCGGTCCAGCTGCCCCCAAGCTCTCTAGGAAGAGAGGGAGGCACCGAGTGTAGTCTCAGTAGCGTGTGGTCCCATTGGCTGCGCGTGGGAGCAGCTGCCCACTGACGGAATCCAGAGACACCGGCCCACGGTTCCCAATCTTAAACACAACCCCCTCCAGGCCCTGGAAAAAGGAGCCGGGCAGGGAGAAGGGAGCGCTGGGCTTCTGGGCTTCTCTGCAAACCAGGCCGCACTGGGGGGCTTTACAAAATCCAGCTCTGCCCACACCACAACCACCGGTTCTCCGTGCTCCAGGCCTTTCCCGGGCTTTTCCAGCCGGCGCATGTCGTCAGAGCCTCGTTCTCTCGGTTAACCCGCAGTGGCTGAAGTGGTGCCATTATTATTATTTTAATTAAATATATTATCTTTCTACATATATATTTTAAATAGAGTAGTTGTCAACTTAAAAATAAACGCCAGCCATATATCATTAAGAAATAGTGACTGGTGTTCCAAGGTTTTAACTACAGGCCCATTGGACCAGAGAGCGCAAAAACAGCAAAAGGCCCCCAGGTGGTCTAATTAGAGGCCCACTTAAATAAATCCTCAGTGACTCAGCCCTTAGGAAAAACGCAGGGATTGATGTGGAAATTGTCCTTGATACATTGAGGGAGGAAAGCCATCCTAGCAATTAAATATTGCCCAAGTGACCCTTTCATGTAAAGAAAATTAATAGAAAAAAAGTAGGACAGCAAAACGTTTATAACTACCTTTGTCTTTTCTTTCTTTTTTTTTTTTTTAAGACAGGGTCTCTGTTGCCCAGGCTGACTTTAACTCATAGCTATCTTCCTGCCTCAGCCTCCTAAATACTGGGATTCTAGGCATTAGCCACCACATCTGGCTTTTTCACACCTCCGCTCCTGACTTGGAATAAAGGTGACTGCGTTTCTCTTGCTTTGTCCTGTTTTCTTTACAAGTTTTACAATGAATAAATACTTTTTAAATTAAAGCTGCAATTTCTGTTTTCTTCTGCCACAACCGTTTCAACGCAGTTCGTGGCTATTCAATAAGCATTTTTGAGTCTCAGATGTGCTGAGCACCGTAGCCATAACTATAAGGAGCAAGGATCGGAAACGAACATAACCCAGCAAATGTCTTCTTGAGGAGCTGTTATGTCTTTCTCGCTGAATATATGCTTTCTTACATTTGAAAGTTCTTGGCGAATGAAATAACAATAAAGCAAGCTCTTCAAACCCTCCGACAGCCCTGCAAGGGCTCAGAGGGGTCAGCTTGAAGCAGTCCAGGCTGAGCGGGGGAGGGTTTCCTTCAAGGTCACTTAGACAGTAACAGGTAGATTGGGCTGGGATGAGTGCAGGGCTGGCAGTCTTCAGAGATGTAGCTTTCTCTCACACCTGGGAGCACCACCAGTCTGTATTGAATGCATGTGCGTGCATGCATGTGTGTGCAGTGCATGCTTGCATGTGTGTGTGTGTGGGCACACATTTCATCTGACTTCCCTTGAAGTAAGGAAGAGAAGGGAAGAAGGAAGGATTTACAGAGGAGACTGGGATCGTGCCCCCCACGCAGGGGGGGGGGCACTTCGCTTTCCAGGATCTTTTCTAAGGAAGCTTTCAGATTCCGGAACGTCTGGTCTGCAGGGAGGCTCTGTTCATTTGCACAAGATCCCCCATTTACTTTCCAGGCTTCTCTCACTTTTTTTAGACAGGGTCTCACTATGTACCACTGGCTGGCCTGATCCCATTAATTAAGAAAAAATATTTATTATTATTTGTGTGTGTGTGTGTGTGTGTGTGTGTACACGTAACTTCTAGTGAGCATGTGCCACAGTACGAGCATGGAGGTCAGAGTGAAGTTAGTTCTCTCCACGTTTACTACGTGGGTCTCAGGAATCAAACTGAGGTGTCAGGCCCATGAGCCTTTACCTGTTGAGCTGTCTCACCATGCACACATGTGTGTTCTTTCACTTTGATGAGCAGTTTCCCCTCTCAAATCTAGAGGGGAGCCAGGCAGGAATGAGGTTTCCCTTGGACAAGGGGAGGGGAGTCATTAGTTCTAGGCTGCACAGCCTGGGAAAGTACAGTGGGATTGAAAGGCAGCTCTGTTGGCTTGTTTGATTTTTGAGACAGGGTCTCCCTGTAGCCACAGCTGGTCTATAATTCACTATGTAAACCAGACTGGCCTCAGTCTCAGAGATCTGCCTGCCTCTGCCTCCCAAGTGCTGAGATTAAAGGTTTGTGCCACCACGCCCAGGCCAGGCTTCTTTTAGAAAAGGCTGGGGACATCTTTCCACATAACCCATAGTTAAGCTATGGCCCTCACTAAATCTTCACAAAAGAAATGAAACCTAAAAAAAACTTACCAAGCATCATTTTTTAAAATGAAAAGTGACCGAGAAAGAAAAAAAAAAAAAAAAAAAAGCATGTTCTTGAAGTGTCTGGGACCAGTTCCTGATTTTAGAGCGATTTGTTAAAAAAAAAAAACAACAACAACAAAATAAAAACCTTTTTTTCAGCTGAGAGAGTTTTTACAGCAGAGCTCTCCCAACCCCATAAAAAGCACGGTTTATGTGGGAAATAGTGAAAGGCTCTTTAATACACAGCGCCTAATGTAAGCAGACTCAGGCGCTACAGAAAGCTCCTGCAGATGTTATTAAAATGAACAGAAACGCACATTTATCCCCACAGAATGGACAACAAGAGGCATCAGACCTCAGAGCCCAGAAGTCCATGCTGACTAGAGGCATCCCCACATGGAGGCCTGAGACCTGCAGAGTTCTAGCATTTCACAGAAGGGGAACACAAGGCCCACGGAGGAGAAGAGGAACTCGCTCAAGGTCCTGCCTGGCATTTGTTTACTTACTGAGGGCAGGGCCAAGGGACTCTGCCAAACCACCTGGCATTTCTTATCCTGTACATGTGCGGTGCTGGGGTGTGGGCCTTCACTCACACACTCCAGGCAGACCTTCTACTACTGAACCACACCCCAG